CTATAATTTACAAAAAAACTATTAATGTCTTTTTCTTATAATTATTATTTAGCAAATTAATTACAATTAAATGTTTTAAATTATTTATATAGTGTATTAAACTTATATAATTAACTTTTTTTAGTAATTAAATTACATTTTATAGTGTATTTCTAGTGTCATGAATGGAACATTACACTTAATTGAACTATTTATCTAACAGCAAGAGTCTAGCAACTTGTTTTGGAGCGCTAAAGAGACACTAAAAGAAAATTTGTAATAAATTTAATTAGATTTTGTAATTTTAATTAATCAGAGATAATAAAATTACTATAAAACTTAAATTTTGCTGAAACGACGAGAAATTTATCAAAAATAGAAATTTGGGATAAACATTTTAGTATTAATACTTCAATACGATTTTTTAATACAAATTTTCTCTATGTATATTTCCAATAACTATGATTTAAAAGCAAATAATTATTTCATACAAAACGAGAAACATCTCGAATTACGAACATAATTTCGGTTCTCGAACTAAATTTCATAGCTTAGTCTTTTACGATTAATTTCAGTATTTCTGTATATGGTTTTCTGGTTGAATTACTATTATAATGCTTTATGATATCTTTAAAACGGATTCTATGAATACCATGGTTTCTTCTATTTCTTGATTATTTTTTTTCGAATAGTTCTAAAAACGAATTATGTTTTAAAACTGATTTTTCACTGTATTGGAAAATAATTTCGCGTAGTTTTTTTTAATTTTCATTATTTGTGTGTACAATTGTATGACTGAATTACTATTATAAGGAAATCGTTTTTAGAACGGATAGTATAATATCATATTAATTATTTCGGTTTCCGAACAATTTGGTTTTTGTATAATTCGGTTTTCGAATAGCATTAACAATTATATATGTTCAACAACTGAGTTTCCACAATATTCGAAAATAATTTTACGATTATTTTTATTACTTTTATATATGATTTTATGCATGAATTACTGTTAAAAGTTTTGAAATAAAGTATCGTAAAAAGTAGTAAAAGTATAGTATCAATGTTTTCAGTTTTGTAACAACTTGGATTTTGAATAATTCTGTTTTCGAACAATTCCTTTTCAGATAGCCTGAAATACTGTTTATGTTCTATAACTGAGTTTCCATTCTATTGGAAAATAATTTTGCTTAGTCTTTTACCTTTATTTTCATCACATTTGTGTATAATTGTATGCCTGCATTACTATTATAAGTCTGTAAAGAAATCATCTTGAGAATGGATTATATCAATGTTATTCGACAAATCTATTAGAAAATAATTAAAGTGCTTTAATAAAATTATTTGTAAATAAATAAACATCTTAATCTTATTCTGAAGCGTCGTTTCGAACTGAAATGAAAAGACGAGTAACTATTTGCAATTCCTCTAAACCTATAGTATAAACTACTTCCCACCACTTGCCATTTAAGTGCCAATTTACGAAAGCCCTTCAAATATTTTCACGCTTTCCAAATTACGTATCGAACAGTCTGTAATTGAAACTTACACACTTCCAAAATCCAGTTAATTTCCGCGTAGTTTTCCAACGAAAACTCCCCAACCAATGTCGTAGTTTCTGACTAATTAAAACCACTCCAATCTACCGATTTCATAATCAACTCGAAACACTATAACACAGTGTACCAGTGGCGCCAACAGTATAATAGGAAGACTCCCTAAGTGCACAGAGTGCAAGTTCAAGGCCTTGGTTAATATTCGATGATCTGAAAAATTGAAGTTCAACCATGTGTGAGGAAGCGCAGATTCGGATTTATATTCGACGTTTATTATGATTTAGATGCTTCCACGTCCACACTCTACCTTCAATACTCTTCATTATAGAAAAAACATTTCTTTTTTTTGGAACTCATATAAAAAAAATATAACAAATTTTATTGATTCACTATCCATTATATAACATTTATTCGTATAATGAAATTATATTGAATACTTATAATATTATAAAACATTTGTTTTCTTTTTCTTCAAATTTTGCCTCAGAAATTATACAATTTTATTGGCTATAAAGCTTCTTGCATTTCCATACTTTACCTTAGATTTTTGTTATTTATTTAACACTTTTCAACATATAAAATAAGACAATTTAATTGTGTAATGAACACCTTTTTCACATTTAAGTTTTATTGACTACTGTTTATTGCATAGAACTTACCCAAAATTGCCCCAAAATATTGTTATACAATTATATAATTAAAATGTATTAACTACTTTTTATTACGTAACATTTTTATTACACATAAGAAAATTTTGCAACGTTTGGCTACTAATCATTATAAAATGTTTCTTGGACTTCTACACTTAACTTTAGGTTTAGTTCATTAACTGACACTGTCATATATATATAAAATAATATACTTTAATAATATATTAATAATTGGATATTAATTATTATAGTTCTACATTTTACCTATATAAAAAGAATTTAAATATGTTAGATAAATAACAAATTTGTATAATCTTTTCATGTGGGGAAACAGTTTTCATGTGCGTTTATAAAAAAAAAATATGTAATTGTTACATATATTTTTTTTGTTGTGTACTAATAAAAAAATAATGCAATTATAATCAACTTGATGTGCTGAAGGATATTACATTCAGTGTAGCTGTTTTATATTTCTTTTTTGTTTTATTTTTCGTTGTGCAGTTTGAAACAATGAAACTGTTGGATAATTATTAAATGTCCGACGTTGTTCTTTCAGTAAAAAGAAATTAATTGAAATAGACACGACACACGTTTTGTGGACAGAAAAAAAAAATAATGCATTTCATTGTGTTGCATAATTTATACGTAGCTTTGTTTCCTTTTCATTTCCATGCAAATTGTAATTTGTTTAAAAAATATTGCGAATTCGGTCTAGTAGAAAATAATATTACCGGATAAAATTTACATTTTGTTGAGGGATATAAATAAAAACAGTAAATTTTTCACGAATAAAATATAAGAAAATATTATTGTTAATTTTCTGAATTATTTGATTTTATTCAGATATTTTTTTTATTTTACATTCATATTTTAATTAATAAATTCTATTATTTACATTTTTCTAGAATTTAATTATTATATTAAAAAAAACGAATATTTATTAATAAAAATAAAATATTGCAAATGTATGTTGAAAATATTTATATTTTTATTCATTGCTATAAAAAAAAGTAAATCATCTAGAAAAATGTTTGATGAATTTTGTTGATTATTTATTTTTTATTGAAAATTATTTTCTTTAATAAAAGTATCAAAAATTATTAAAAACAATGCTTTCATAAAAAAAAATTATATATATTGTGATGTTGTTTAAAAAAAATACAACATTTGTCATGAATAAAATTTGCGAATGAAAATATTTTAATTAAATAACTCTCAGTTACCACTCTCATTTAATATATTAATTATAATTAGTTAAAAGGACGTATTTCAATTATGTAAATGATGGCTGATGTATGGGAATCGAGTGAAATATATTTAATTTTATTGAAACATCTGTTTTGGCGCATATCTGTTCGTCTGTAAATAACTAATTAACAAATTTTGCAATTAATCTCGTTTCACTGTTAAACAACAATTTTCTAATTATTTATTATTTTCTAGTATTAATTTTGTGGATAAATGTTTCGTGACAAAATTGATTATTAATTTGTCTAAAAATATTGTTAAACTCATAAAATAATTAGTATATACATACCTCAACGAGCAAAATAAATTGTAAGGAAAATGACTCGCAAAATGGAATGCATTATCGTATATTACATTAGTTTATATGGGGAAAATTGTTACACTCTACGAATAAAAATCCGGAAATTTTGGAATAATACTCGTTAAGCGAAGTTCCACTGTATATATAAAGTATATTAAGAAATATATAAATATTAGTATTAAATATGACAAGTAATTTAAAATTTTATTTACGAAGTAATATAAAACTTGTGACATAGAAAGAATAGAAAAAAGTATGAGATTATTTCTTTAAAAAATTTCATGTTAAGCACAAAGATTCTTTAATTTTGTTTACACGATACTTGCCAAGTAACTTGTACACACTTACCAATATTATAACAATGTCAACGTTGTTTAACAAGTATTAGTTATAGATATACGTATTGTTCTGAGTACACACTGAGCTTGTACATGGTACATATCAAGTACTTGTCATGTATCATTTAGAGTTAATATATATTTTTCTAATAAATCATGATTTCTATGAATAGTAAATATTTTTACTTGTCATGTATCATTTAGAGTTAATATATATTTTGCTAATAAAACATGATTTGTATGAATAGTAAACCAACTTTTTCATTTATTGAATTCTATTTTACAAACTCCTTATGCCAACAACCATCACTTGATACTTACCAAGTAACTTGTATTCAGTTACCTATATTAACCCATTAAGCGGCTTTATGCATTGCATGAAGTGACTGGTTGCCACGTTTATTTTTGCTAGCGTATTTACTTATAAATCATTATGCGAATATATTCGTCATAAGCGAAATACAATAAACCATGACGAATATATACGCACTTTAATCATGGTTATGGGGAATACTTATTATGCTGAGTATATATATATATATATTCAGCTTGTACATATTACTTACCAAGTACTTGTCATGTATCATTTAGAGTTAGAATATATTTTGCTAAATTTCTTATTCATTAAATTTACAATCATTAGTATGTATTAGAAGTAATGAGTCTTTATGAAAGTGTACCAACATTACATTATCATTTTGACTCAATGATGTAATTGTTAATTGCGAACATATAAAAGAACAAATTCAACTACAATTTCTTCTACATAAATTTATCAAATTCTTGGCTTTATATTTAAATAACAACTAACAATTCAGCTTTAATAATGAATCAATTAAAATGAATAAATTATTTAGAATCAATTTAATACAAGAATTTCCCAAATGCTGTATAAAAATATTAATTTAGATAAGAAGATTGGTTTACTTACCAAATATGATTAGATATTATTCTTGATAAAGTATCCGAAGATTAATCTGAAAAATTAAAAAAAAAAACATTAATTTAAGTTATATTAACTTTTCGATAAGTTAATATTTAAAAGATAGATATCGACCAAGATATAATACTAAGGAAAAATATGTAAGTCAGATATAAAAATGTACTAGGATCTTCAACCAATAATAAAAAATTAAGAAAATTGCAAATTAATTATTTATTTTAAAATACATAATTAATTTAAGGACATAAAAGTTTTAGAATGAAACCTAAAGCTTTTAATATTTGATGCAAAATCTAGTCTAGCTCAATTAAGATATTAATACATAGTTTATAAATGGAAAAATATTAAGTATAGTATGGCTGCAACATTACAAAAGTAGCCTTGTATATATTGAGTAATTTCCGAAACTTAATTTACTGAAAGCTCATGAAAAGTCATTTGTGAATAAGTGTAAGTCTATATAAACACAGCTAATAAGTGGAAACACCAAAATGCTTTCAGTTATAGTGGATTTTCTTTTCTCGCGCACTAATAAAGCGTAATAAAATCGACTAATCTGGAAGCGAGGAAAATTGTTCGGACAACTAATTTCCGGAGATTTTTTACGGAAATCCGATGCGGAAGCTCTCATATTGAACGTGCGGGCTAACGCCCTTAACGCGAAATGGGAAATGTCCTTATTTACCCAAAAAAAAAAGTAAAAACTAAAGAAAATATTTTCCGAGAACTCGAGACCTCCTTATTATTTGAGCATAATGGAGTAAGCGCATAGAAATTTTCCCCGATGCGTATTAAATGGATTAAAAAGAAATTCATAAAGTCCAGAATTTTATATATTCCCTTCATTTTCTTTTTAATCTCTATTCATATTTATTCGTACAGATAGTCGCGCTACTTTATTGTCTGCTTCGTTTTTCCGAACTAATAAAATATAAAGAAGGAAAATGTAAATGCATTTCTAAATAAATAAAAGTTGTTTACTGAATTAAAAACTGGAGCAAATTAAATAAACGGATATTTTTTTTAAATGGATTGGTCGATGATATTATTTGTGAGAGAGACGTGAGTTATCTGGTTCGTTTAGGTACAAAGTGTTTTGCAAGCAATATCTTTTAGCTTACAATAATTTCCAATTTTCCGTCTCCGAAATGTAGCGCAATATTTATGAATTTGTTCTCATTTTCGCAGCGGAATAAACATACGTTTCCTTATATGACCCAGACAATTTTCTGTACACACAAGATAAATTCGTTTCGCAACCAGGATCTAAGGAAAATTGCATTCGAGGTGGTAAATTTTTTACTCTACTTTTTGTGTTTTTTGTTTGCATGTTTGAATAATGCATGTAAAAATTCATAAAATAAAACGTTTGGAAAGCGGCAACGTTTTGGTCCTTTGTAAGAATGTGCATATCTGAAATAAATTATGCTCGAGTTGTTCGAAAAGCGAAACCATTTTTTCTCACAGTAGAATTTCATAATATATCCTCAATACAGATTTATTTCTATAAAAGTCCTATTTATTATATACAAAACTAATAGAAAAACAATATAATATTACATAAAAGAGATAACTTTTAGACTTTACTTTCTTTTTATAGATGATTTTATAAATGGAAATTTCAGAGAAGTCTAGTTTTCAATTAGATTTAACAAAATTATATTCTAAATCCGAGGTGATTCTGTTCGGTAACCGAATTTTTCGGTTAGACAAATTCAAATATTGCAATTTCGATTTTATTATTATTATTTTAGTTTATATAGAATTAAGATAAATGTTTACAAAATAGTAAATATTACCATGCGTACTTTTCATTAAGCAAATATTGTTAAACATCCGAACCAGTTGCAGCTTTATTATGGAGCGTGCATTTATAAAGTCCTTAAACACACATACACACGTATGTGCCATGAACAAATTGCTTAATTTTCTTTTGTCCTTGCTTTATACGGTTGTTTGCGTGTGCTAAATTATTTTGTCGGCTCTATTTAGTTGTGTAGCATTGCAATTGCCGAGGATTCTTTTAAAGCACTCGAGGCGAAGCAGTAAATATATAAATCACGCAGCGTGCAGTGCATTAAAGTAGCGGAAGGGAAAGGATGAGATAGGACTAGCAGAAGGATGAGGAAGACGTGAAGGATGTTAAGATTGAGGAGAATAAAAAGGACGTAATATGAGAAGGACGAGGAGGATTAAGAAGGACCATGGAAATGACAAAGACGAAGAAGATGAGATGTACAGAAGGACGATGAAAATGAGATAGACAATAAAAATTAGAAGAACGATGAAAATGAGAAAGACATTGAGGATAAGACAAGAAGAATGAGAAGTACAAGGATGATTATAGATATAAGAAGGATCATGGAAAGGACGAAGAGGATGAAATGGACAGAAAGGACGATGAATATGAGAAAGACAAGGAGGTTGAGAAGGACAGAATGGACTATGAAAATGTGAAAGAAGATATAAGAACGATAAAAATTAGAAAGACAATGAGGATAACAGGAAGGATGAGTAGGACAAGGATGATTATAAATATAAGAAGGACCATGGAAATGTCAAAGACGAATATAAGAAGGACCATGGAAATGTCAAAGATGAGATGAACAGAAAGAACGATGAAATTGAGAAAGACGATAAATACTAGAAGAACAATGAAAATGAGCAAGACAATGAGGATAAGATGGGAGGAATGAGAAAGACAAGGATGATTATGAATATAAAAAGACTATGAAAATGCCAATGATGAGAAAGACGAGGAGGAAATGAAGAACGTGTAACATGAAAAAAAGGAGAAATAGAAGGATGAGATGGACGAGAAAGACTGGAAGGTTAAAAAATTTTTGAATTATGAGAAGGTCAATAAAGATGAGTAAGATGAGGAAGATTTGAAGGACGATAATGTTGGAAAGAATGACAAAGAAAAAAACTATGAGAGAAAAAATAAAGATGAAAAAATAAGATCCTTCTCGTTGAACATTAGAAGTGCGAGGAAGACAAGTAAGATGAGAAAGACCAGGAGGATTAGAAGAACTAGAAAACGGGAAGGATGAAAAAGAAGAAAAGGATTAGAAGGAAAGTGAAAATAAGAAAGACGAGAACGCGAAGCAGAAGGAAAAGGAGCAGAAGGAACGAACATTCTCGTTGAAATGGTTTGTCCGGATAGAAATTTACAGAAACATTACTCTTACTTTACCCACATGCAGGCATTTGCTCCGTGAACTAGATTTTTGATACAATTTAAATTGCATTTTTCGTATGAAATTTATCACCCCTTTTCCTCCTTAATCCTATATTTTAAATTTATGTTCCTCCTCCGATTATGAATATTTTTACATTTTTAACCTGAAGCTATTCGTATTCATAATTTCATTGCTATACATATATACAATAACAAAAAAATATTAAAATATATATTAAATTTAATAAATATTTGAGAAACATAAAAGTTGTCTAAGTTTCCTACAACTAGTATTGATTTACTTCAATGTTATTGATCTTACTCCAAAATTGAATGAAATATGGGATGAAAATTCCTATGTGTAATGAAGGATTAGGAAAGCTATAAATTAAGGTCCGATATTAATGCTATGGGGATGAAAACTTGATTAAATTAGGGCTGTTCACATGCTGCAGGTAATATCAATTAGGGGGCAGTATAAAAATCTAATATTCCTGTTTCGGATGGAGACGATATGATGATGATGATGATCGTCGGTGGCAGCAAGGAAACCGTTGAATATTCCGTACAATTTCAAACGCATTGACACGTGGCTTTCTGGGAAATCATGTTAATTTACTCAGGATTGGGAATAGTATGCGGTCGCCCAATTTAGGTATTCCCCCAGTGGTCAGCTATATCCATCCAATTAGAATACTTATGACATCTGCTAATATGACGATTTCCAATTCGGATATTGCTAATACAAATATATGGTAAATTCATGAATAAAATTATAAAATAATATTTTGTATAATTGTACATATACCCTACAATTATACAAAATATTATTGAATTAAGGAATTATTAGAACTGAAACAAAAATTTAAAAAAAATATTAATATCTATGAAGACAAAAATTTTATATATTTGTCAGGAAAAAAAATGAAATTGTATTAAACAAAAATCAAATATTCAGGTTGTTGCAGAGAGTGGAAGCATTCGTAATTACAAGGATTGAATATTAAACATTCAGGTTGATTGGATTGACACATGTCTTTATGTCATGTTAATAGGATTATAATTGGGTACACTGTACGTGATGTATTTAGATTTCATTCAGTGATCATCGATTTTCACACAATTTCTCATGATATTTGCATTAAATATTCATATCATAGTGTAAAATTGAATAAAACAAATAAATTAAGAATTCTTATTGGATTACTTCAGATGTTAAAGAATATAGAAAATAAATTTTAGTCAACAAATCAAGGAGTTGTAGAAGCCTTACAAACTGTTTTTTAATAATAGTGTGATGACTTTAATGACATGTTTCGAGAAGATTCGTTGAAATACATGAAGAAGTTGTAGAAGCCATAAAGAAATTACAGTAATCTTTCTGGAATTTGCTAATTCTTTAAATATTCTTCACTTCTTCTGAAATTATGAATTAATGCTTATATCAGCCTTTAAGAAATCATTACTTAATACTTGATAAGAAGAAGTTTTCAATATTTGAAGTATTAATTGATGATTGTAAAGAAAGTGTTCGATAGTTAATGATTTAGAAAGTAAAAATTATAGATCATGACAAAAAGTTGTCATCATTTTTCTTATGAAAATGTACAATCATTCTTTTAATTAAGTTTTAATTGATAATTTTGTAGAAAGAAAAAAATAATTTTCTTCTTGATATATTTGTTGAATCTGTTAGAAATGTTGTTGGCGATAATAACAAAAATATTCAAGTATAAAATTATAAAAATTGGAGCAAAGTAATAAGGGTAGTCCGGACCGGTAGTTATGTTAATTGAGAGGGCGGTAAACGACGCGATAAAATATGTGGTGTAAAATGATTATATTAATCTAATAAAA